GGACATTTGAGGTTTTAAAAATGTAATAGTCTATTTAAATTGAATGCACAAATCAGAATCAAGATGGCTGTAAAAGGGAATCAAAGTGTGTGCATTCACCTTATTGGAAAAGTTCAGTGCAGTGAATGCTGGGAGTCACTTATCTGACAAAAGGTAAACACCTAGGAAAACCCGCTACAAGTGAGATGTTCAAGATTTCTGGCTAAGTTATCTTTGAGAGGCCTATTACCTTGGCATGCAAGAAGTAGTGTTACAGATAAGTTATTGCAATGGGGTTGATGTTTGGACAGTTTTTCTGGAGTCTGTTCTTCTATATTAGGGTTACTATATCATGCAGAGGTGTAAGTAGGTACAACAATACTGTAGTTAGTAAAAGTTACATGAGGTGGAACATACTTAAAGAAAATTATTACAGTTAGACAGAAAGCTCCTACTAAAACTAGTTATTTGTTCAAATGAATTGTACAGCAAAAACATTTTTTTTTTGAAAAGCAAAGCAAAGGTCCTTGTTGTGGGCAGCGATGGAGTCACACACAGCTAATATAAGGTCTTGTCTTAGTGGAGACCTATTTTGCATTTCTGGCTAGATCGTGCCTGTGGATGATAGTTACTGGTATGTCCTCTTTTCCGTGGTTTTCCCTCAACTAATTACTTGTTAAATTTCTGCTTCCTGTTCTTATATGCTGTAATCTTTCTTTATTTGTGATTTTTGACTGTAGGCATCCTTCTCTTTCAGAGATCAGAGGAAGAAGTTTTGTAGCAGTCTTTTATGGCCTTAATGAAGATTAGTGATTCTTTTTCTGATCATTCTCTCATCCACAATAATTCAAGAAAGTTTTTTGTTCAGTTATTCTGTCTTTTTGCCAAGCAGGTCATAGTGGCAGTGTAGCTGTTGCTTCATTCTTGAAAACAGAAAATAATTGTATGAATCTGTATAGTTGATTGTCTCTTACTGTATAAAATAGAGGATTTGTTCTGAATGATGAAACATTAGTTTCCTTTCTGTCTATGAAGCTGTACTCATTCTGCATTTCCTTCTTTAGAATATTCCAAGTTCTTCCTAGTGCTTATGCTTGCACAAACAACAAAAATTGCCTTGAAGGACCTAAGGCTGCTCCCCTCCCCTGCCGAGCATTAGTCTGAAAAACTGGAGGGAAAGGAGTAAACTATATCACTAAAAGTGGTAAGATCAAACACGTGAAGAGCTTAGCTGAGTTGCTTAATTCAAGGTGACTAATGCCACTTGAGACTCTCTGCAGCATATGAGGCACCTGCAGAAGACTAGCAGATTTAACCTGTAGGAGAGGCAATTGATGGCCAGACAAGATACCTTAGGATATCTCAAGTATTTATGTTGAAGTAGAGGAGATTCCAGAGACTTTGTGTGTCAAAGGAGTGTTATGGAAAGTTGAGGGAGATTGTGAAGAAATCGTTTATCTGAGATAGCAGAGAAAGCTTATAAAGCAAAATCTCACCACAGCTTAATTTAAGATATTACGTTTTAGCCAAACAAAAAGGCTTTGAGTTTGTACCACTATGTTAACAACATCTCCTGTCCAGAGATGGTGTACATCATCAGTGATGTTGCTTTGTTGTTTTACTTATTATGTTTCTGGAGGTGGTAACAGTTTCGTAAGAAATGACTGAAATGGAAAGAGAATGTGTGAACTGAAGAAAAAATACAGATTACTATTAATAGCACAGAATAGTAACTAAAATCATAGCACTGGTAGGAACAAACCTGTATTGATGACTAATATATTATCGTAGAATCATAGTGTCATAGAATGTTATGGGTTGGAAGGGATCTGAAAGATCATCTAGTTCCAGCCCCGCTGCCATCAGCAGGGACACCTTCCACTAGACCAGGTTCCTCAAAGCCTCATCCAGCCTGGCCTTGAACACTTCCAGGGAGGAGCATCCACAGCTTCCTTGGGCAACCTGTGCCAGTGTCTCACCAACTCACAGGAAAGAGTATTTTCCCAATATCTGATCTAAATCTACCCTCTTCCGGTTTAAAGCCATTACTCCATGTCCTGTCACTACCTGCCCTTGTAAAAAGTCTCTCTCCAGCTTTCTTGTAGGCCCCCTTCAGGTATTGGAAGGCCACTATCAGATCTCCCTGAAGCCTTCTCTTCTCCAAGCTGAAAAGCCCCAACTCTTTCAGCCTGTCCTCATAGGAGAGGTGCTCCAGCCCTCGGATCATCCTGGTGGCCTCCTCTGGACTTGCTGCAGTAGATCCAAGTCCTTCTTATGTTGGACGCCACAGAACTGGGCGCAGTATTCCAGGTGGAGCCTCATGAGAGCAGAGTATAGGAGGAGGATCATCTCCCTTGACCTGCTGTCCACGCTTCTCTTGATACACCCCAGGTTACGGGGATGTAAGGTTGACCTTCTGGGCTGAGTGCACGTTGCCGGCTCATGGTGAGCTTTTCATCCACCGGCAGCCCCAAGTCCTTCTCCTCAGGGCTGCTCTTGATCCATTCTCCACGCAGCCTGTATTCTTGTGCTTGGGGTTGCCCTGACCCAGGTGCAGGACCTTGCACTTGGCCTTCTTGAACTTCAAGAGGTTAGTACAGGCCCACCTCTAAAGCCTGTCAAGGTCCCTCTGGATGGCATCCTGTCCCTCCAGCATCTCAACCAAACCACACAGCTTGGTGTTGTCAGCAGACTTGCTGAGGGTGCACTCAATCACACTGTCCATGTCTCTGACAAAGGTGTTAAACAGCTCCAGTCCCAATACTGACCCCTGAGGGATGCCACTCATCACTGGTCTCCACTTGGACATTGAGCCGTTGACCACAACTCTTTCAGTGCAACCATCCAGCCAATTCCTTATTCACTGAGCAGTCCATGTGTCCAGTCCATGTTTTTCAACTTAAGAGAGAAGGATGTCATGCTTGACAGTGTCAAATACCTTGTACAATTGCAGGTAGATGACATCACTTGCTCTTCCCTTGTCCACCAACACTGTAACCCCATCATAGAGAGCCACCAGATTGGTCGGGAACAGTTTGCCCTTGGTGAAGCCATGTTGGTTGTCACCAGTCACCTCCTGACTTCCCATGTGCCGTAGCATATTTTCCAGGAGTAACTGCTCCGTGATTTTGCCAGGCAACGAGGTGAGACTGACTGGCCTGTAGTTCCCCACATCTTCCTTGTTTCCCTTTTTAAAAATGGGGGTTATGTTCCCCTTTTTCAGTCTGTGGGAATTGTATCAGACTGCCACGACTTCTCAAATATGATGGATAAGGGCTTCACAACTTCATCTGCCAGTTCCCTCAGGACCCGTGGATGCATCCCATCGGGTCCCATGGACTTGTGCACCTTCAGGTTCCTCAGATGGTCTCAAACCTGGTCTTCTCCTACAGTGGGCAGCTCTCCATTCTCCCTGTCTCTGCCACTGTCTTCTGCGATGTGAGGGGTGTGGCTTGAGCACTTGTTTGTGAAGACTGAGGTGAAGAAGTTGTGGAAGATTGAGGCAAAGTCATTATTACATACCAAGCTGAACAGAGTAGTTATTTTTTCGTGATACTGAGCTGTATACATCTGTGGAGCATAATCTTATCACACCACTTTGATGTTTAACGAGTATGAAATACTTAGATTCACTTGGCCCTCAGTGCCCTTAGATCATGCATATACAAATCTGTTTCTTTGAAGCCTGTTTTATGGAGACTCAAAAAGAGGGGAAAGTACATGCACCTCCTGCTTCTCAGGTTCCCTTTCATGTCTCATTTGAAGACGTAAATGTCAACTGTGCGAGAAGTGCGGGATCGAAATGGAAAGAGTATTGGGCACAAAACTGGAAACTAGGCAGATAACTTTTGAATATTGGCCAAAAGTTTCTAACTCATTGAAACCGATGCTTAGCTGTCTCTGTCAAAGTATTACTCTGTATTGTCTCTATTTACATGATTAGTTTTCTAATTGTCCTGGTTTTTAGCTGGGACAGAGCTGGGTTTCTTTTTCAGTAGTTAGAATAGTGCTGTGTTCTGCTTTCAGCCTGGGATTTGTTATGAGAGAAACACTGATAACACACCAGTGTTTGCATTTCTGTCACTGGAAGTGAAGGACTTTGTGTTCTGTCAGTCTACAAACGGAAGATCTAAGGGGCCAAGGAATATTTAAATTAATAAGCTAAATTGGCATTTGGATATGCCAATGGGATATTCCATATCATATCATGACATGTCCAGTGTATTAGTGAGGGTCTCTTCCTCTTTTGGCTCTCTCTGGCTTTCTCTCGGTCTCTGGCTCTTCCGGGATTGTGGTTTCGGTTTGGGATTGTCGCTTCTCCGGGATCGTTATCTGGGAACGGGCCGGGCTCAGTCAGCGGGTGGTGAGCAGTTGCATTGGGTGTCACTCATTTCCATATTTTGTTACTGTTATTATTAGTATTATTTTAAGTTTTCTTTTATTTCTATTATTAAACTGTTCTTATCTCACCCTGTAAGTCTCCTTACCATTGCCGCAATCCTCTCCCTTATCCCCTGGGGGTGGGGGGGAAGGGGGTGAATGGCTGTGTTGGCTGCTAGCCAAGTGCCAGCCCAGTGAAACTATCACACTAATCCATTGATTTACAGAGATTATTTTCCTCATCATAACTTAGAGTATATTAGTGTTGTGTTGCACAGTGTTGCTACATCAATATGTTTCTTAGAACAAACATATTAATCTTCCTTTACTATCTAATCTAACTATTGTTTTAGAAGCTGTAGTTATTACATTGGAGATTCCCAAGGTTTTACATAGTTTGTATTCTCCTCACACCTTTCTTTGGTGACCGAGCAGAGAGTTTCAAGCAGGGAGTTCCCTTATGGTGGTGATGGTATAGTATCACTTTGAGAGCAACAGCTTCAGCCTTCTCTGTCTCACGTGAAAGAGTAATGAATACCCCCCATGTTACAATTTATTGTGATGTGATAGAACTGTTAGCAAGTAGGTGTTCAAACATATATGCTACAGGACTGTTCTGTTTGTGGGGTTTTTTATTTCAGGATCTAAGAACATGAGCCAGATTACAACAAATGGGGAAAATGAAGGAACTACCAAGATCATTGCACCTTCTCTTGTGAAAAGGTATGTAGACCAGAGGTTCATTTCCAGCTTTTAAGAGACTGTGTATTGCATTGGATAGAGGAACACATTTAGTAAACATTGGTTACAGTTTATCCTGCCCTTAACTTCAGGACAGTCTGATCTGCTGACAAAGGTCAGAGAGTGTGGCCCATTTTAACAAACTGTGGTCTTCTGATGAACCTGGAACAGGGGTTCCAGGTGACACAGAGTTTGGAAACCCACAAATTGGGACCAGTTAATGGGAAGGTGAACAGTCTTGATTTTAAATATGGAAAAAAAAACCCCAACAGATAATGACCAAAGGAGCACTGGTCAGGACTGTCCTGTGAAGTCCTGTGTGCTTCTTTCTTGGGGGCTGTGGGCTGGCAGTTAGGGCCCTCAGGGTGCAGGGCAAAATCTGCTTGGGATGTGAGGCCAGGGAAGAGCTGGGCATGACGTCTCTTCCAGCAGTCTTGTTAATTTTGCAGTCCATTACCTGTTACACTGTTAAATCCAGAACAAAACTCATAGTGTTTGTGCCTGATCCTTAGAAGCAGTGAATTGCCAGGGCTCTTCAGGTCTTGCCTGGTCTGCTGTGTTTTATTATTAGTGCTGAAGTGGACATCTCTGATTATTAGGCATACTCGAGAGAAAGAAGTGAGGCTCAGATTCAGAATGGGATTTATAAACCCACCCATATATCCCTACCCATTTATATCCATTTTAGGTGGAATTTAGGTGCCTGAATCACAGAAGACTGATCTAACAAAACACTGAGTCAAAAACTCAGCAGCTAACTTTTTTGCTTAGTCACCTGAATGTCTGTCTCTGCATACCCAGTAACCCTGACAGGTTTTTTTGAGCTGACTAAATCTGGCTTTATCTCTCCATTGAAGCTGTGGGCTTCACATGCTAGGTACCTGGACTGACCTCTGAAGAAAAATCTAAAAGATTTACTGCAAATACTTGATGGATAGTGTTTCATGTTGCTTAATATTTAGAACAGTTGCCCCAGAAAAGAAGAGCTGAGTTGAATTGCTTCCTCAGTTTGAGGGGAAATTAAACCCAGTATTCTAACCCTTAGAAAATAATATTGATAATGGGTTAAAAGTCATGCTGAAGCTAGGCCAGTGAGCAGAAGAAAACCCACAAAGGTGTATCAATACCTACAAGGAGGGTGCAAAGAGGATGAAGCCAGTCTCTTCTCAGTGGTGCCCAGTGACAAGAGGCAATGGGCACACACTGAAGCTCAGCAGGTTCCCTCTGAACATCAGAAAACACTTTTTCTCTGAGAAGGTGACTGAGCACTGGCAGATATTTCCCAGGGAAGTTGTAGGGTCTGCATTCTTGGACATAATTCAACAACCATCTGGGAATAGTCCTGGGCCACTGGCTTTAGGTCACCCTGCTTGAGCAGGGAGTTGGACCAGATGATATCCAGAGATCACTGCCAACCCCAACCATTCTGTTGTTCTGTGATTAGTTAGGAGAGAGAAAAGTACAAAGCAAGAAGTACTCTTATCCCATAGTGCAGAAATTATGATATTGGGATGGGATATGAGCCCTTCACTGCAGCTTGTGTTCCAAATGCTGTGTATATTTTTTAGCAGTGAACTGTTAAAAAGAAATGAATAGGCAGGTTGTAGAGCAAGAACCAAAATAAGGGGCTTTTAACATGACAGCTTCAAGGTTTCAGAGGTTAGTTTCTTGTCTTGATAGTTTGAAAGCAATTCACAGACAGATTCTCACTGAGTCATGCTTTTAAATAGTTTCAGTCAGTTCCAACAAAAAAGTGTTGGAAGTTGTTTTTCTTGCATGTTTTCTGTTTAGGAATTAATTTGTTTTTCTTTGTGTCTCTGTCTGCACATGTAAAACACCTTTCAGGTCTGCTAGACTTAGTATGTGTGACAGGCAGCACACATGGTTCAAAGTGTTTATAGTTTGGTTGTTTACTCCGTCCTGTGCAAGTCTCACATTAATTGTCAGTCATGCTTGCAAAGCATCTTTCAGCAGCTCTTACAAGCTGAGTTTTAGTATTTTAGCATCTTAGTCACTGTTGAGATACATAGTTGGTCACTTCTGCATAAGTGGTGTAAATTCAAGCTAAATCATAAAAATCCCCAACAGTAATCTCATGTGAAATTCAGATCTTAACCTTTTCAAGTACTTTGAATGAACTCAGTGCCTTTTGCAATTGCATTCCTGGAGATAATACTGGTACCTGAAGAACTGCCATGCTCTAGCTCTCTAGCTGTAAAGTGTGTCTGCTCTGAATGAATAATGACTTAGGAATCTAATGCAGTGAATTCACGTCCCAGGATCATTTCTCTCTCTCTTTTTTGAGATTTGAGAACACTATTCAAATTTCTTTAAGCCCAAGTTCAATCTAAGTATTGTTCAGTAGTTTGTGTTATGCAAAACCAATTGCTTTTTGCAATACAGGACTGAAACATATGCACCCAAGTTACTTGCTTAGTATATGCTTAGTAAGCATATATTTTTAAGCCTGAGAATAGATTGTATAGACATACGAGTCAATAATTAAGGGCTGCAGTATTAAGAAAATTATTTACCTGATAAAGTGTATTTTAATTTCTTTTCCTGCTAAAAAAAAGACTTACTGTAGCTTTGCATTTTGTTCACTAAGTAAGAATTAAACTATTAACTCAATGACCTGTAATAACCAAAGGCTGAGGTTAAAAGTGGATTAGTGATTTAAGTAATGATGATTCCTTAATAAAGCCGAGTCTGACACCTCCTGCTCTGGGCAAAGAACTCTGGCTTATGTCCTCCTCTCCGTAAGCATCTGTAAAGCTTTTTTTTTTTTCCTGCTTAAGTTGCACTTTGGAAAGGTATGATGCAGGAAAAGCATGAGTAACCATTGGTGAGAAGATGGGTGCAAAAGCATGCTTCAGCTGGAAGCTACCTTCCAGCACTTGTAGTGACAGTGAGCAGAATATCTGGGGGCATTAATGGGTTAGAAGTTGTAAAACCTGGCACTGTGACAATGGTAGGAATAAAGGAAGAGTTGGAGCATCCTGCTCTTTTTCCCCGTCTCCTAAGGTATTATGGGAGACTGTTTACAAACATTGATAGATCTCTTAAGCCAGGTGACTGTCTTGACTGTCCTGGTACTTTACCTTGCAGCAGTCAGTGAAGACAGCTCTTTCATGTTGAGAGACCTGTGCTCAGTGTCTAGCAAAAAGAAAACATAAGGAGTTACTGGGTAAGGAATGAGAAGAACATGTTACTCTATGAACCTGTGGTTTGTCATCTTTTGAATAGTTATCACCCCTGCCTTAGTTGTTCTCATCTTAAAGAAGGTATTATGGGCTTGGAAAATGGTAGAGAAATATGATAAGGATAATCAGAGGTATGTGGTGACTCCTGTACTGGAAGATGTAAAATAGTCTGTGATTCTTTTACTTGGAAAGGAGATGACACTGTTGTTAAAATTATATTAAAAAAAAAATGGGATGGAGTTTGTGATTAGGGAACCATAATTCATAGGGTGTTTTTTTGTTCTGTAAGCACAGAACTAGTGAGGAACACAAGATGGAAGTTTTAAACCAGGCAGAGGTTTTGAAATAAAATGAAATAATTGTGCCACAGTTAAATACTGGAGCATACTGCTACCAGACACTATTTATGCCAAAAAAGAAAAAATATTCACGAGGTGTTTAAGTAAATCCATGGAAGAAAGTTCCATCAAGAGCTGTGTAGAATAAAAAGCAGGTAAAGTTCAATAATCTATTAACTGCATATTGTAGAAGACTGTGAAAGGGTATTATATAGTTGTGCTATTGTTAAACTTTTTGCATAAGCAACTGTTCTCATTTATTCTGATACAAAATTGTCTTTTATTCTGACTCAGTGCTGCCATAATTATGAGCTTGTAGAGACAATTTTCAGGTCTTTTTTTTTTTTCTTCCGACCTTTCTTTCTAGGAGAGATTCTTCAAGGTAGCAGCTCTTTGTTTTCTTTCACATAGCAGGCAAATAGCTATGTGCCAGGGTGGGTCTCTGTATGCCCTTAAGATTAATTTTTTAGAGGTCAGGGGAGAAAACATGTGTTCTATACACTATGGGTTTAAAAAAAAAAAAAAATTATCTGTACTTTTATTTAGCTTTAAAAAGATGAAAAATGAAAACAGTCCAGAAACCCAAAGAAGTAAAACAGGCGCACCATGGGAGGAAAATGGCCCACAGAGGTAAGGCAAGGCATGATGATGTCTTAGGTATTGTGCAATGGTAAATGTCATGCCGTGGCAATACGTTGAAGGATATTGATATAATATATTAATGTATTAACAGGATCACAATAAATTTGTATTGTGTATTACAAGATAGGTCATGTCATGGATAAATAATTGGTTAAAAATTAGGAAAATGGGTGTAGGAGGGAGTGGTCAGTGGATCAGAATCCCCAGTGACTTTCTACAGAGATCTGTGTGTAGACCTCTGCTACTAAGTATATTTGTCAAAGACCTGGAAAAGGGTGATAAAGTTTGTTGATAGGACAGAATTGTTTAGGATAGTGAGACAGAAAGTTCTCTGTGAAGACTGGCAGAAAGGCCTCTAAAGTATGAGTGATGAGTCACTATGGTGGATGATGTTGAGTCAGAAAGTGTAAAGAGAGGAACATGGGGACAAAACAATAACCCTATATGAGGTGCTGTGGAGATAGGATGGATAACTTCATGAAAACTGCAGCTATGCAACAGTCAGATAAACAATTAGCTATTATTAGGAAAGCAAGAGAACAGCGTTATGCCATTACATAAATTTGTGGATGACATATTTGCTCCATAAATTGTGAGTGCAGTTCTGCTGTCCTTATCTCAGCTTAAGGACAGGGGCAGCAAGGGTAAAATCAAAGGTGTGAATAGCTATGCAGGAAATCTGTACAAGGAGCAACAGCATACGCCAGGCAAGACTCTTCCTTCAGTCTGGAAAAGAGATAATTTCATGGGATGTGGTCTAGAAAATCATGAGTAGTACAGAGAAAGAAGAAGGAGATCAGGATTGTATTTTTCCAGCATAAGAACTTCAGATCTTCAGATTAAGCTATTGGAGGTAGTTTAAGACATTAAGAAAGGCAGTGAGTAATGACTCACATGAGCAGGAGACCTGTGGTCCTTCTTCACGAGGGATGCTGGAAGCCAGTGGATTCCTGGGAGAAGCTGAGTGAGTCATGAAAGAGAAATCCCCAAAGGCTTCTGAAGGCAGAGGTAAAGCAGCTGGTTTAGTAAGTCCCCTGGACTGGGCATAGCGGGGGACTGAGGGAGCACTGAGGAACTGTCATACATACTCACCTTTTTGCTTCCTGTAGGTGGTTGCTTACAGCCACTGTTGGAAACAGGCCACCAAGTGAGGCGGCACATTAAGTGTAAACCAGTATGATCCTGCTTTTATGTGACGATTCACATCTGTAAATGATGTGCCTTTTGAGGCACCATGATGTTTTACCCTGTGTGTTCCTTCTGTAAACATAAAGAATTTTCAGAGTAAGGACAAGGCAGTGTGCAAATATCCTCTTGCTAGGATAGACATTTTTTGGTGATTTTTAAAGAAGTGTCAACTTGTCATATTATGGCTCCAGTGTTAAAATTGCTCTCAGGATAGCAGGAAGTTTGATTTCCTAGGAGCCAAAGAATGGTAGGATTGAGTTTTTGCGAGTCCATCTGTTCTAGAGGACTATGCATTTCTAGATACATAAGGAGACTGCATGCTGCATAGAAGCTTTCACAGCTTCTAATAATAATTCTCATTGAGATGAACTGGGGCAGCTTTTCAGCTGTGCAGAGCAGTGCTGTAATCAGCAGTCTGCAGAAGCAGGTGAAGAAGAATATATCCAATTTGAAGGCCAGAGGGTTTTAGGAAAGCAGAAAGAAGTACCTTAACTGGAATTTGGTGAGAATATCATATTTACCACAGTTTTCATGAAAAGAGCTATGTAATGTTAGATAAAGATGTGTGGTTGAGTTTAGCATCCTTCCTTCAAAAAGTGGTAGAACATCAGTAGATCAACTTAGAGTGAGATGTACTCCATCGCAGGCTCTGTTACATTGCTGAAGGAGGTCCCTGCAGTTCTACAGGAGGATATCACAGTATAATCCATACAGCCATTTTATAGTCTACATCTAATTTGGTAACAACACAACCCAAACAAAGTGCATAGCCTGAAACTTGAAACACCTCCACACCATGGGCAGAGGGTTGTGTGAGTGAACAGCAGAGAGCTGAATCTAAAATTGTTTCACGGTCCAAAGCATTAGCTCTGTGATAAAGATGTATGTTGTGACAGGAACACTGTTTTCATACTTATATCCATGGAAAACGTAAAGAATGGAGGCATTTGAGGGCCTGGCTCTGGGTTGGATAACTCATACTGAAGCACAGATATTTTATTATGCTAAAATAATAAGTATATACTTGGTTCTACATTTTGTAAGCTTAGAGCTGTTGGCTTGACAATGCTAAGAGGTCTCTCTCCTACATTTTCAAGGTTCAGTGTAAAATATTTACATGGTATGCACACACACATGCATGTATAGCTGAATATGTACTTAAGTGTGTGCGTAAGCCTTCTCATTTGAATCTCAGTTCGCTGGCCTAACTATCCTGGAAGTTTTAAAGCTGACTGTTTTATCTTCCTTTCTAACCCTAGTGGGCTGTATAATTCTCCCAGTGACCGCAATAAATCACCAAAGTTTCCTTATTCTTGGCGACGGAACCCATCAGGTGGCAGCGAGAATGAGTCTGGGCAGCCAGTCCGGAGGAGGTAAGAGCCCTGGAGTTAATTGCATTATTGACACATGCAAGATCTTTCCCTGCTGAATGAAAGGATTGATGGATGTTACTTGCTTGACCATAAGCTTCTAATACAGAGCAATATTTTAAGTACATTGCTTTGCTTTAAGTGCAACAAAGATTAAACAAATGAGCTACAAAGCTGTCTTCAACAGTCCCATGTGTGAATTACTTTACATTAAAGAGGATGTCAGCAAAAATACAACAAGATACTTAATCTGTTTTTAATGGGTACGTGCTGAATTTTGTAATTTCGAGAAGTAAAATTAAATCGATGGAGATTCTATGCTATGTGTCCTGGAGTACGTCCAAAATGCAAATTACAGGGAAAGTTCTGAAGTGATACAGTTTTGAGAGACTACATGTTACGTGGGATGATTTGTCCTGTTGAGAAGATGCTTATATTGCTGAGGTACCCTGGTGCTGTGATCTGTTGTGAAGCATGAGCAAACATAGCTACTGTGCCCATATTCTTCGCCATCTTCCACGACTGCCTTACCAGCCAGCACCTGGGAATTCCATCTCCTTCTGACATCTCTGAAGTGATTACCTGTTTGGCTTTCAAAGGCAGATTTTGCAAAGGGATCTCTGATAACACAGCTATATCTATGTTGAAATCTAGTTCAATATTTGTCAGGTTTCTGAGCTGGTCTAGACCTTTGGTATGTCACTAGCTGTCTAGAACAGGAGTGAAGAAACTCACCCATGGTGTATGCTTAGTGACCTCATGCCTGAAATGTAAAGTAAATCAGCATAGCTCTCTGTAAGTCAATAGAGTTACGTTGATTTACCCTGTTGGATAGAGCGCTTGTGTTAACAGCAGTGTGTTTCCTGAATGGATTTTCTGATTCATTGCTAACTTAGTTGTCAGAAGGACTTGTTGGGCTCTTAAAGACAAAGAAATAGATATGTGCAGTGCAAAACTGTCTTGTACCAGGAAAAGAACAGTGTTTGTACATTACGCAGTAGGAAATTTTTTGAGATGCAAAGTATTTATCATCTGGAATTTGCATTTGGCTGATCTACTCAGTGGGCAAGTGGTCATGCCAATAGAAAATTTTCTCTCGGGCCACCACACCAACAAAATATTTTTAAAAGTCTTATGCATGAGACTGTGAAGACTGACAATAGTAGGTAGTTTCTAACCTAATTACGTCTTCCTGAATCTTGTTTTTATTCATGCGCTTTCCTTTTTCAGCTATTCAGTAACAATAGCTCTGTTGTTTATGCACTCTAACTGAAATTAAGAGGAAGACATCAGGCTTTGCTTTGCTGGAAACAGTAGGAAGCTCTAAAGGGCAACATACTATGCTTAACCTTGCAAGTCAGGGATTTGCAATGAGAACTTGAATGGGATCATGCCTTTGCAACTTACTGTAGAGGTGTCCTGAAAAGTTTAAAACAAACACATCCCTTTTTTCTCTGGCTTAAAACCTTTTTAAGGTTGGTCATTTTTTTTAAAAAAAAGACATGGGAGATGTTGTGTATTTGTGTTAAGTGACCTGATGGTGTTTCATTAAAACTTCTTTAATGTCACAGGAAAACTCAAAACAGTGGCGAAGATTCAGATTTAAAGCAAAGGAGAAGGTAAATACATAATCTATAGCAGCCGTGAAATGATAGTGAAGGTACTGATCATATTTTAGTTCCCTTCCCTTCCTTCCTAGTCCCAATCTTCTTAAATGTTTAAAAGGCATGTTGTGTTCCACCCATTTAATTTTTTCTCTTGTATCTTACTTTTGCTAGAACACTCTGTAGCATAGCCTCATCACAGCACAATTCCTACAGGCTATCTTGCACACTGTTACTACACCATGCTAGAAGCAGTTTGTGGAAGTTTACTAATGGCTTGTCTGCAACTTGAAAGTCACTTCCAGAAGTTTTAGCCTTTGGATTTTACATCTGCAGTTTTTGTTTTGAGTTCTCCAGCCTCCCAATGCACTTTTAACTAATCTGTTTTGAAAGCAATTGTAGTATTATTTGAGATTAATTGTCCTGCAAAAGATTGGTGCAGAGGCATATGCAACTTCTTACAGTTTTCTCACTGTCTTGCACATTTTTTACTGAATTTTTTCTTGTTTGTTTTTTTTCCCCCCCTATGCAGTCTGAGCTAGTTATCACATTTCCAAATAAAGTTATTTTGTGAATTCAGATGGATGTACCCTTCAACAACTTCAGCTTTTGACAGATTTTTGATTCTAGAGTTCTCTAGTACCACACCTGCCTGCCATGACTCTATGCTGTGCTAATCCTCGCTCCTGTGCTTCTGCCTTGGCTGCTGGAAAAAAGAGACAGTGCAGTGTATTTTGATGTCAGAGTCTCTTGAAGTATGTGAAGGAGAGGAGGCACTCCAGGATCTGGTTCACTGCTGCAGCATGGGAGAAGAGCTCTGGCAGAGATATAAGCATCTCAGGGACAATCACAGGAAGTCAGGGAAAGTGCTTACATACTTTGCATCTATTATAACAGATTGGTTTTTTAAGGATGTTACCATTACAGGCTGACAGTGACAGTCCTGTGGTAGATGTCCAGCACAGAAAACTGAGAGGATTTAGTTAGGCATCTCAGGTGGAAAACCCTAGTGCTCAGAAGAGACCTTTTCCCAAAGTCTGTGACTGCTGTATTATGTTACAAATGTACAGATTTGTTACTGTATATTGGAATAGACCTTCTCCACTTCCTCACAGTTTGACTACTCTCCTTCTCTCAATTTAATCAGAAAAGGACTGCATCAGAAGATGAGCCTTCTCTGTCAACAGTTTCTCTGAAATACCAAATCCTGCAACCCACCCCACCCCCAGCCCTCTCCCAGACTGTATTTGTTCTGTGTTTCCTGACAGACAGCCTATGCCTTATTTCTTGCTCCTTGTGTCAGGCCATATAGATATGTTATCTGCAAAATACCAAGAAAACATGAGAAAAAAGAATGAAAGGTGCTTTTCAGTTGTCAGAGATCAGGATGATCTCATGTGTTCTTGCACATGACTTAGGAAACCACCTTTGTTTCCATTTTTGATATTTTATTCAGTTCAGTAAAAGCTCATGTTTCATATGCAGTGAAAGATAAAATTCTGACAGCTAGCATGAGCAGCTGCTGCTCAGCTGACAGCTCAGCAGCCCTTTTGTCTCCCCGCAAGTGCTTTCCTGACAGGGAACACAAAGTAATTTGATTTATAGTATCCAAAAGGCAAATCAGATTTTCATTTCTGAAAGCCTAGAGGAAGGCTTATCTTGAATTTGAGCAAATAGGATGTTTTATCTTGCACTTCTGCCATGGTGTGATTTTTTCTGCCTTGATACCTTATGAGAGAAATTGCTTAAATCAGACTAAGAAAATAAGTACTGGGAGATGTAGAACAGAGTCACTCCAATGACCTGGAAGTGTGAAAGAACACTCTTGCTTACGTGACGTAGTAATGTTGCGATTCAAGATTAGTGGAATATTTATTAAACATCTGATAAGATTTGAGGGGAAAAAGGTACACTTTTGGGCATGTAAGATCTACTGCAGTTCTAGGGCATTTATTGTTCCGAATTCTCTGAATGTGTTTGAGACAGTCTTTAGGGCACCATTTTTTAATCTTCCTTCTTCCTTTGGGGTCACATTTTTCTGTAGTAATATACATCTTTCTTATCCCCACTTTCAGCTTCACCAAGAAATGTGAATTTTTACTTGGGAAACTGGCTATTCTGAGCCTCTTGGTGGCTTTAAATTATGAGCCATGAGATTTGAGGTCGGGGAGATGTTTTTGCTTCTCCTCTGGGGAAATTTCACTTTTCCAAGCCTATTCCCTTCAGACAAGCTGGGTTGAACTGATTTTCCGAGGCTTTAGTTGTCCTATTCTTCAACATTTCTCCTTGAATGGGAGCTATTTGAGTTAATTATTTCCTAGTTTAGAAAAGGGGGGAGACCAGACTCCATAGACTGAGTCATTTAGTGACACAGCAATTTGATAAAACCAACTGTAGTTCACTGGTATTATGGGTAAATTCATGAGACTCTCAGCTGTGTGAGGAGGGCATCTACAACAGTGTCCTAGTTTCAGAGACAGGAGGTGATGTGTCCCTGACCAGATAGGACACTCAGGGTACATCCATGCTGCAGCAATTCTGTTCTCTAGGAAGTCTCTCTCATCTTCTCTGGTCCTGTTTGGACTCTTCTCCCTAAACTCTTGGAACAGTGTGTTCTAACAGTTCAGGTGTAGTTTAACAAATTTGTCCTCTTACAAAAGTGGCTTATCAAAGAGCGAAAGAAAAGCCAGTCAGCACAAGAAAGTATGTGTGTCTCTCAGCAGCATCAGGAGTAATCCCCTTATATCCCCTATTTCACATCCAGAGACCTCAGAAGAAAATTTTTTGTTTTTCATTGCAGCAAAACTATCACTGATTCTGACTCCTGATATCAGAAATCCTTCTAGGCCAGCTCATGTTAATATTTTCCCATGAATCAGCTGGACTGTCAGTGTTGCAGAGAAACATGTCTTTCTTTGGAGGCATTCAGAGACCATCATCACATGAAATAATGGTCCAAACCAGGTTTTGATGTGAGTGCCATTTTTTAGAACCTAGCCCAGCAGTACAGTAAGAGAGTCCTGGTTTCTAGGACCAGAGTCCTACAGCTGGGTTGTTGGCTCCAAAACATTGATCAGTGGCAATCAGGGATTTAAGAGTCTCGGACAGTGGTGGCCAAGCACTCCTCCTTACTGAGACGAGTTTACTTGTAGGTAGGCATATGCCCATTTTCTTCTTGAATTTCAGCATCAGTCTGTTCCACCAGTCTTTTTCAGTAATAAATAATCAGAGCTGTGAATATCATTTTACCATTTGAAGCTTCACAGTCAGAAATGATACAGAAATAACTGCCTTATTTCTTTTTCCTCACGTGACACAGCATCTTTGTAGCTGTGCATTGGGTCTTCCCAAAGCCGTACTGATACACAGGCCTGCTAATGTGCACACTTCAGCCTTTCTGTATTTATAAAGGTCATTGAATCATAGTGTTAGTGGTGTTTCTTCTATACTACCTGACACTTGAAAAATGATATGAACTTACAAGAAGCCAGATGGAAGGTGGGGTGAATAAAAAATGACAGATCTGATGATCTGTTTTTTCTGCAAAACCAGAATTACTGTATTGTTTCTATTGGGTGTCCCACAATATGCAAGAAAAGAGCCAGAATGCATCCAGTTTAAAGATAAAACATTTCACACCTCAAAGAAACATTTCATCCTGGCATATACACAAAGAATGCTAAGAGATAAAGTAAAATAAACAACAAAAAAATGCAGTACGATTCAAAAGGAAAATAGCACTCACCTGACACTGCACTGTAAGTCTACTACTTTCAAAGCAGTTAGTCCCAATTGATTAACGAGACAAAGCTAATACGACTTTCAGGTGTAGACAAGCCCTCTGAAGTCTTTTAATTCTTATTTTCCTAGTAATGTCTTTGCAGTGTTGTTCATTCCTTGTTTAGAACTTCAGTACTTTTGATGTTAGTAGATAAATTCATCTTGAGATGTTGCTTTTCTCCTCTGCAGATCACGGTCTCGCTGTAACACCAGCAGTGGTAGTGAATCAGAAAATTCCAACAGAGAGCATCGGAAGAAGAGAAACAGGTGACCTTTATACATTTTAGACATAGACACATGAAACAAACAAATGAAGATGGACTTTTGTGAGATAGACCTAAGAAGGAATCTAATCTCCAGTCCTCCTGAGGCAGCTTAAGGACCTTTTTTGAATAAGAAGAGAGATAATTGCCAAAACTCTTTTACATCATAAATGTATGCAATGAATGCATACCCTCCTGTTGCTTGGGAAGAACTCATTAATGAACTGCAAAATCAGTATTTACAAATGACTTGCAATATTAGTGCAAATAAAGTGGACAAATAGTGATGATAAGATATTCATAGCTTATACTTCAATACCACAGAAATTTAAAGTGCAGAATTTTAGCAGAAAATAAGCTTTTGAGGAGAAGAGTAAAAATATTTTAATGGATCTGAAACTCAGTGTTGTTTTTAAATGCATGTGTTTAATTAAATATTTTTATTTTCTGAAATGTAAAATGTAGGCCTAAACCCAAAATGTGTACAATGTCAGCTTTTAATAGCATAACAAAAGTTAATGTCAAGTGATGATAGCAAGTTTTGTTTTGTATATTCTATTTTTCTTGTTGCTGATATGAAAAAGTTAGCATAACAACTGATGCAGCAAAAAATTTCCTTTAAAACTGCAACTCTGATTGAGAGAGTTGCAGTTTTATCAACTTGAGAACAGCATTTGAGATTTACTTATGAAAATGTATCTTTAAAAAGCACATAGAATTTCTTTATATTGCATAAGCAGAGCCTAGGATAAATGTCACTGCACCTGCACAAAAGAGGAATTGTTTGAGGCAAGTTTTCTAAACAGCTGTCTGCACAAGCTGCCATAATTTCTTGTTGTCTCACATGCAGTACTATCAATGATAAATGATTTTCAGGTATTTGGAAGCTCTTAGAAATAATTATATGCTAGATAGTGCTGCAGAAGTATTCAGTATAATAATATTTTAAGCATGACTTGCAACAGTTAGATGCTAAAAAATCACTGTGACATTAAAATGGGCTGGTATAAAGCATATCTGAGCTACGAGATTTCTTTGGAGTTTACTTAAATTAGAGAACAATCTTGTGATATACTCAGTTAACAATAACCTAGTGTGCATGGAAGGTTTGTTTTCCAGGTGAGCTCTGAAGTTTGAATTAAATGCTGAGTTTCAGTGGGCAGCAGGTAAATGGTATTTTGTATCCCTTTCTCTTAGAGCACTCTCGCCAGGTTTTTCTTCTGTGAAACTTCTTGCTCAGTGAGCTTCACAAGCAAGTGAAGTAAATTAGAGACTGGCCACAAGAATATTTTTAAGAGTTTCTTGCAGTGTAAAGATTGACCTGTAAGAAGGATTAAGTACTGCTTATCATTTTCTGATGAATCAAAGGGCCTTTACTAAGCCTTTCTCACCTCATGGAAAAGTGCCTAAAATTAAAAAGAAAAAAAATCAATTTCTGTGGATTGTTTTTATGCTTTTCACATTTTCAGAAAGGTAAGATACATCAAAAATATTTATGTTGCAGCATCTCTTACTCTTAGGTGGTCATTTGAAATCAGACCAGATAAAAAGTCATTATCAGTGTTAAAATAAACAAGTACTAAATGAGCTGAAGGTCTGAAACTTGTTGCTTCTCATAAGATGCAGGGAAACCACCACCAGTCATAATGAATTTCTGCATTTTGTCAGCAGCCACAGCAGGAAAAAAAAAATAAGCTGAAAGGGCACAGGCACCGAATAACTTTCCTGTTAGCAGAAGTGAGACAGCCCTGACAGGGTTAAATGGGACAATATAATGAGGCTTGCAACTGCTGTTGCTCAAGTTTTGCCTGTTGCATAGATTCATACTGATTTGTTTCCCAGTACGATAATCAGGTCCCTGGCACAAGCAGACACAAAGTGTTACTGTTTTATTGGAATAAAATAACTGAATACTCACAATACCCAAAACAATCTGCTTCTAATCATAAAAGAGTAGAATATATTGTTCATGTGAGAAGAGATAACTGTGAACTATTTATCAGATGAAAACAAATTATCAGAGAAAAACAGGAATGCAGGTGGGAATTTCTGAAGGTACAACACTGGAAAAATGTAAGACAGAAACTCTTTACTTGATCTCAATAAGTCTTTGAGGTTTCATTCCATCATAGGAATGTTTTATCCTAAGCAGTTGTTACTATGAAATTGAGGAAGAACCTGTGATGAGCATATTTCAGTCATAGAAGAAATGTATTTGCTTTTTTTAATGCTGTGGTCAAAATTTATTGTGTGGATAAAAATATATTAGACTAGTACACAGTGTTTACTGGAGCATAGTCTTCTATTTGACTACCCTTAGAAGATCCATCTGATTAAAATCACAGAATGACTGAATGATTGAGGTTGGCAGGGACCTCTGGATATCACCTGGTCCAACCGCCCTGCTCAAGCAGGGCTACCTACAGCCAGTTGGCCAGGACCATTCCCAGATGGCTTTTGAATATATCCAAGGAGGGAGACCCTTTTATCACCTCCCTGGGCAACTTGTGTCAGGGCTCAGTCACTCTTACAGTGAAAGAGATGTTCAGAGAGAACCTCCCATGTTTCAATGTGCACCCATCACCCCTGGTCCTGTCACTGGGCACCACTGAGAAGAGCCCGGCTCCATCCTAATTGCACCCTCCCTGTGGCTATTTATGTACATTGATGAGATCCCTCTGAGCCTTCTCTTCTCCAAGGTGAACAGTCCCAGCTCTCTCAGCCTTTCCTCATAGCAGAGATGCTCCAGTGCCTTCATCATCTTGGTGGCCCTTTGCTGTACTCTCTCCTTTATGTCCATGTCTCTCTTTTACTGAGGAGCTCAGAACTGGACACAGTACTCCAGGTGTGGCCTCACCACTGCTGAGTAGAGAAGAAGGATCACCTCTCTCTAGCTGCTGCATAATGCATCCCAGGATACCATTCAGCTTCTTTGCTTCAAAGGCTTGTTACTGGCTCATGTTCAACTTGGTGTCTGCTGGGATGGTCAGGTCCTTTTCTGCAAAGCTGCTTTCCAGCGGGGCAGCCCCCAGCACGTACTGGTGCCTGGGCTTGTTCCTCCCCTGGTGCAGGTTATTGCACTTTCACTTGTTGAACTGCATGAGGTTCCTGTTGTCCCATTTCTCCGGCCTGTTGTGGTCTCTCTAGATGGCAGCATGACTGTCTAGTGTATCAGCCTCTCCTCCCAGTTTGGTGTCATTTGCAAACTTGCTGAGGATGCACTCTGCCCCTCCATCCCTCCATCACATTAGTGAAGATGTTAAACAGGATTGGATCTAGTATTGACCCCTGGGCTACACCGCTAGTTACTGACCTCCATCCAGACCGTGTGCCATATTATCCTCTGGGTCTGGCTGTTCAGACAGTTTTCAGTGCACCTCACTGGCTGCTTTTCCAGCCCATACTTCAACAGCTTCTCTGTGAGGATCTTGTGGGGAGACAGCATTGAAAGCCTTTATAAAGTCCAGGTAGACAATACCCACTGATTTCCCTTCATCTACCAAACCAGTCATTTTGTTGTAGAAGTTTCTCAAGTTGGTAAAGCATGACTTCACCTTGGTGAATCCATGCTGACTACTCCTGGTTACTTTCTTGTGCTTTATGTGCCTGGAAATGGTATCCAGGATTAGCAGCTCCATCACCTTTCTGGAGATCGAGGTGAGCCTGACTAACCTGTAGTTCCCTGGGTGCTCCTTCTCACCCTTCTTGAAGATGTGAGTGACATTTGCTTTCCTCTAGTCTTCGGACATTTCTGCCAATCACCATGATCATTCAGAGATCATTGAGAGAGGCCTTGCAAGGACATCAGCTGGCTCCCTCTGCACCCATGGACTTACATATGCCCAATTTGCTTAAGTCTTCCCTGACCTGATCTTCTTCCACTAAGTGTGTGTCTTTCCTCCTGGTCTCTAGGGCCTGGGATTCCTGAAGGCAGGTCTTGCTAGTAAAGGCTGAGGGGAAGAAGGCATTCATTACCTCAGCCTTTTCCATGTCGTGTCATCAGGTCCCCTGCCTCATTCAGCAGTGGGCTCTAGCCTTCCTTTTGTCAACTGTCTACTTACAGAAACCCTTCTTGTCTTTGACATTTGCGGCCAGATTCAATTCCATTTGAGGTTTGGCTTTCTTAACCTCATCCCCACATGCTTAGATAATGTCTCTGTATTCCTCCCACATTACCTGCCCCTGGATCCACCTTCTCTGTGCTTCCTTTTTGCGCTTGAGGTTTGCCAGGAGCTCCTTGTTCATCCATGCAGGCCTCCTGGCATTTTTGCCTGACTTACTGCTCACTGGGATGGACTTCTCCTAAGCCTGGAGGAGGTGATCCTTGGATATTAACCAGCTTTCTTGGGCCCCTTTTCCTTCCAGGGCCTTATCCCATTGGACTTCTCCAGGGAGATCTTTGAAGATGCCAGAGCTTGCTCTCCTGAAGTACAGAGTTGTGATCTTGTTTTTTGCCCTCCTATCTACTCTCAGGGTCTTGAATTCCACCATCTCATGGTCACTGCAGCCAAGGCTGCCTTCAACCTTCACCTCCCCAGTGAGCCCCTCATTGTTGTACATTGTACCTAGATGATAAGTTTATGCTCAAGTATTTTGAATGAGGTATCAAGAATCAAGTCTTCAGAGAGTTTATCATTGCATAAATGTAGCTTGCTATCATATCACCTGAAATGGGGAAAAAACATCTCTAAGTCAACAGGTGAATGATGATAATCTTAAGATTTTCCATTTTGCCATCAAGTCTTCCTGCAAACAATGCCTAGTTTGTCACTGTGATAGCTATTAATCTAAACTCGATTTATTTAATGTGCCAGTAACAAGGATTTTTTTTCTATAAGGCATAAATCAACTTGTTCCCTTGTGGCTCCAAAAAGTGAAAAAAATGGAAGGAAAGTTGTAATGGTCTTGGAGTATAAGGACAACGCTCTTTTGTCAAAAGTATCTTTAAATAGAAATTTAGGTTTTGAGTTAAATTTCTTTCCACTTTTTTTTTTTGTTGTGATCTCTGTTGCTGAAGAGCTGAAGATTTTGACCCAAAATTGTTACGATTTGATCATTGCATCTAACTAATGTATTTTATGTAGAGATTGTGTTACTTTGACCATTCTTGCAGCTGCAAAATGAATGCTTTATTTCTTTGTATCCCCATCTAGTAGAATTCTGTTGTGGTTCAACAGTACTTTTGTGGGTGCTGACACTGCTTGTTTTAATAGCTGCCATGCTACTTTTTGTATTTAGATCTTCAGTGTTTTGCTCAAATTAAAGAGATAAATAACAGTGCAGAGCACTGTTATATGTTACAAGTGTAAGAAAGTAGGCAGAATGGAAAGATGAAGTACTTGGGGATAAATTGATGCGTTGCTAAGGACTGCTTGCCATGCAGCAGTAGATTCTTCTCCACTAGATAAGTAGAATGGACTGGAGCAAAAACAATGTGTTTACTTCCTTAATGAGAGGTCATTCTTGGTCAGTGTGGAAGTGTGGCTTCAAATTCAGAGGTGCAGGATCTCATGTCCTCTGTGCCAGAGTACAGAGCTTGTGCTCTGCTGTGTTGTGCAGGTTTCCTGAGAAGAATGAGTAGTTCTCAGTTATTTTATGGTAATCATCCGAATGCCTCCTTCAAAGCACAGCTGTGTACTTGACCTGTTGGGAGTTGTTGTGTGGGAGAGGTGGTGCGAGGTACTGGCAAGCAGGCAGACCCACCACCCACGGCAGCAGCACTGGTCTGGCAGCAGCCTGTCTTGTTTTTGTGTGAGTGACTGCTGTGTGTGGGAGGCAGTTGCTTGTGTTTATACCATGTGGGGTGATTGCTGTCTCCACACATTGGATTATTAGGAATGAAAATCACAATTCATTACTTGTGGTTGTGTGAGTCCTTCTACTAAATCCTTAGGTAGAAGTTTATGTTAATCCCTGTAAGCAGATAACAGCTTTCAAAAGACTTGCATAGAAATCAGAACCTGATGTTGTGGTCTTCTTCAGATGCTCAGTACCATTTGATAGAGTTGTGGCCATAGTTGAGGATCCAGCTCAAAATTCATTATGCATGTGAGAGAAGATCTGATTAAAGGAAAAGCAGCAGCCTGCATAGCCAGTTTAGCCTGATACAATTCAAAATTCAAGGAGACGGGTACATCTATAGCAAAGAGCAACAACAACAGCATGCTTTGCATTTCCTATCAGTCATGTCTCCTGTGTACTCCGCTTATCTCTACTGGCTTGTTTGTTTGTTTTACCAGTCAGTCTTTCCTTTTTTTGATAAGCTCTTCTGGTTTCTTCAGTATGCCAATTGTACTGTCCTATCAGAGAATCCACTCTTGGAGTGATATTTTCCAGAGTTGTTTCTGAATCCCTGATGAATTTTAAATTCATGGCTGTGACCAAACATATGCATTTGTTCCACCTTAGCACTTCATCACACCACTCATATCTGCAACCTCAAAACTGTGAAACATCTGTAGAGCTCTGAATGGCCAAACGCTGGCTCACCAGTTGGCCTGGCAGCCAGCTAAGAAATATGCTGAATGTATAAGTTTTTGACATTTGTTTTAATCTGTACTACATTCCAATAAGGGATTAATAGATTAAAAAAACCACCAAAACCCAAAAATCAACCAAACCAAAAAACCCCACCCCAAAACCCCAACAACCAAAAGAAGAAATAAAAGGCATATTGTGTCCTTTGGAAGTACACACAAGCAGAGACAGGGGCCAGAGCCACAGGGGATTGTGCAGAAGGGGTGCAATGGCAGAATTGTATGTGTCTGGGGCAGCCAGGGAGATCTGCATGCATCCTGGGCTTTGTTGCAGGTCAGGGTGAAGGGACTGATTCCTTTGAGCAGGAACTCACCAAGGGCATCCCTGGGGGATTTTCCCAGGATTCTAGGAAGGTGCGTGCTGCAATGAAGTATTGGGAAAAGTTGTAGTAGCAGAGCCTTGTATCATGATGTGGGGCTTATACTTGCTGTGGATGAGGTGTGCTGGAATATGTAAACAGTAAAGAAATTCTAGACATTTATCTTGGGCTAGGAAGATGAATTCAAGTTGTGGGCCTGTCCTTAAAGGCCTGGGTCATTTTATTTTTGACTTACAGTGTTTCTAAATAACAAATCAGTGATTTTTCTTTGATACAGGTTCTCACATTTTAATATAGTTTGGGAACATTAATTAAAATTTAGCAAGATGAAAAGTTAAAGTATTGTATTGCAGGAGCTGGATTCATGTGGGGAAAACAATACCCCATTGCTCCTCAGAGCATCCTGCATCAGAGACCTCGGACTAAGCTCCTGGTACCTCTGTTGCAGATTACGGCAAGAGAATGACATGATTGACTCGGCTCCTCAGTGGGAAGCTGTGCTACGGCGACAGAAGGAGAAAAACCAGACAGATCCAAACTACCGGCGATCCAGGCACAGATCTCGATCGTATGTAACCTTCTTTAACATGAAAATTAAGACTGCTGTAGCACGTTAAAAAGCAGAAGGAGTATTTCCAGAATGGTGGTGGCTGTCAGTTGCTGAGGAACAGAGGCTTTCACATGGCACATTCTCACATTAGCAGATGTGTCTTTGTGGTCAGACTCCCTTCATTCAGCGATTTGAATTTCAGGGCACAAATAAAATGGGAAGGCCTTTGTGACAGAGCTGGTCAAGAACTATCTGCATCACCCTGGATGGAGATCTGGATGGTTTTGTGGCTTATTAAACGTTAGTTCTGTAATGAGGACAGTGATTCCCCTCTTCCGGGCAACAAGTCTATGAAAACATTCAGATTTTGTGTGATAGGTGCAGGCATTTTTGTGACATGCATGCACGCTTGTTTAATCATATAATGTCTGTGGTGTTCCAGGTGAGACCAGCTGCTGATGTCTCCATGTCAAATTACTATTGACAAACATTACTCAGTGATTTGTTGCATCCTGATGTCAGGATTTCCATGATGGAGCTGTGCTGCCAGGCAGTGCTATTCCTGCTAAAATCTGTTTTTGACATGGTGAAGTTGACAGCTTCGAAAATTATTTTTCTCAAACTAATGAAAATGTTGGTTTCTTTTAATTTATATTTTTCTTCTGATGCCATGTTTTTGGGGTATAGGCACACTGTTTTGTATCATGTTGGTCTCCAGCCTAATCTGCTGTCCAGCAACCATCCAAAACAGTGCCAGCATCAGCATGACTGTCAGGCAGGGCAAGTGAGGGCAGGGTGGGGGGTGTTGGAGTGCCAGGTGTGCAGCTAGGAGGGCACTGGGAGAGAAGGGAAGAGAGAGCAGTCTTTGAAACTGTATCCCCATCCTGCCTGGCTAAAATGGATGAGTTGCCAGCCCTGATGCTGATGGTGGAAACGTGTAACCTCTGTAACACCCTTACATAGGTACTTCCTGTTAATGTATGAGTTTTCCTTCCATGTTAAGGCTTAGCAAGAGAAACTATATAGTTCCTTAAATTTCATTCATACCCCCTGAAACCGTAGTCTGCACTGAAGTTTCCAATATTAAAATCCATGTGCATTCAATTTTCAGTTGTCCATGTTGCTAGAACTCATTTCTGTCTCCAGTTTCATAGTGTACAATTTCTATTCTTTTATGGGAAAAAGAATTTGCCATTAAAATTCCAAATGTTGGAATTTCTACTTTAACTGGCTTTGTACAGACTTGTTCACTTCTAGCTGCACAAATGTCAAATGTTATTAGGTGTAATTATACAATGATATTTTAGTAAAAATCAGGAATATTAAAGCTCACTTGTATGGAATCCACAAAATATAGCTGATTAAGTTTGATATACATTTTTTACTATATACAGAAAGTGTCGTAAACTAGAAAATGTACTCAGTTAATAATGGTTAGATTAAATTTATGGCTAACTTTTTCTTTTTTCCCATAGGCCAAGTAAATTTCGTTGGCTGGACAGCACGAGCTCCCTCTTGTGGCTAATTTACCTTAAGAAATGGCTTTTAGTTTCCAGCACAGTGACATTCTGAGTTGTATTTTATTTAAACTACTGTTAGCAAAAAACTTAAAAGTGTAGCCTCTTACTTAACAAGGAAAAGTCCTAGAGGAAGCAAATAAATGAGGAAATACTGAAGATTTTGGGTGGCTTCTCATTTCTTTTTCCTGTTGTGTTAGTTCTCCTTTTTGTCTTACTCTTCAGTTTAAAAAAACCCCAACAAAACAAAACAACGAAATAAGCCCAAACCTCCCAAGTATGGCAGAGATCTTTAATATATGCAAGTAGGAACTAAAAAAAGTAAAATGAGAAATCCTTTCAAAGTGCTTTAAAGTAAGTTTAGTAAAAGGCATTTAACTGTTAACCTGCAGTAGTTTATAAAAGGACTTATTTAATTCAGTTTGGCTCAACTGTTTGTTTACATGAATGGATGCAGGCCAGAGGAAAGGGAAATGTGATTCCCTAGAGTGTAGAGTATGATTGGTTTTGGTTTTAAATCTGGACATATAGTAATTTAATTTACACATTTAATAATTGATACAAAACCTTCACTTTAGTAGCACAGATGAGTCTTTCACATTAAGCTCCGTATTGCAGTCAGTTTAGAGTACAACTAGAGGTGCACTTTGGAAGTGTGAAGTAATGGTTGAAATATTTGTTACTGTGCCTGGCACAGTGCATTTCATTTGTTTGATAATGAGTAATATTAGTCATTGTTGGTGATGAGGTGGTACCTCATTGCTCTCAGGAATAAAAGTATTTGACAAGAATTTGACCTTTCTTTCTCCTAAAGGAATCGGCAAATAGAGAGAGCTACCGATTCTAGTTCCACAGGGTTTATTTTCAAGAGTTCATGTAAAACATCTGTGTAGCCAAAGGGCTTTTTTAATTAAGAATGGCTATTAAAATTCCATGGCTATTTAAATTTACCATTTGTTACTCAAACTGAAATATTAATAAGGGTGCAGATGCAGACACAAAAAATAATATAGGCCTTGTTAATGTGTAGAGTTGTTCAAGCTTGTGAAAATGAAATAAAAATAAACTAAAAACCCCTGGAGACTCGTCACTTACTGAGAATTCCCTTTAGGTTTCTTGTGCATTAGAGAATCTGATTGGCATACAAATTATCCAGAAGCTAGTGATTCAGATACTGCAATAGGACAATCTGAGTATACATTACATGTCAAAACTGTGAGTTCTAAAACAATTCACAGCAAAAAGATGAAAACAAAGTGAAAGAAGGATTGTGATCTGGCTTTAAAGATTTAATAGCAGGATTGCTTTGTTGTGGGCTGTTAAGAACTACAAACATGAATTTCCTATGCAGTATATGCAATAGCTACATATCTTAACAAGAGCTTTCTTTTTGTAAGCTTTTCTTAATTTTGCCTTCAAAGAAAGCAGGAACAGGCATTGGGAAGGAAAACGCTTTTATTGAGATACTTTATTTGTGTCATATTTCTAGATAATCTTTTGTGCAGTTAACTTGAATAAATGCTGTGAGGTTATCCCAGTATGGTGTAACCTTCTTAAGCAGATGGAAAATAGGTGATGTCAAGATGGGAGTTCATAAAAGCAGTTTGCTCTGAGGAATCATTGTGTTTAGCCCTTTTCCTGTTTTGCACACTAACTTCCCCTCCCCCCTCCCATGGGATGCCATATTGCTAAACTCTTATTTTACAGCAGAGGCTTTGTTCTTAATGTAGTTGCAGAGGTGGAAGGAGGGAGAATGACAGAGATCACAGAATTAAATGCCTGGAGGTGGCTGCAGAAAGCAGGAGGCACAGTTCCTAGAAAATGGAGGAATGACAATGACTTCTTATTTAACCACTCTCTTTCCACACTGCCTCACAAATTAATAGTTCTTACTGTAGTTGAGGCTTCACATGTTTGGTGATATATGAGACTTAAGGCCCCATCCTGAACTGTTGTATTTCCATGAATAAGTACAAGTCATGAGCTGGTCAGATGGGTCAGTGGTGTGCACAGTATCCTGCTTTGTGGGGATCCCAAGTTTGGGAGAGACCTTGAGGCTTTGCTTCCTCAGGCAAACAAGGGGTTGTAAGCATTACAAAGCCTCCCTGGAGAATCTGGCCTTTCTCAGGGAGCTTTTGCATTCCCCACTGCCTGATTATTCGGCCTCAGAAGAGGATGCCTATCTTCCCAGCCTCAGGGTGAATGCAGGGTTTGCAGCTGCGATTTTGTCAGCAGGGGATTGCGTGGAAGGAGAAATCAATTCAAAGCTGAGGGGTGAAAAAGGCTGTTAAATGACACTGCATACCAAGCTACTGCATCAGGGAGTTCAAAACAGCATGAACAGATCTAAGAAGGAGAAGTAAGTGGAAGAAGGGAGAAGGAGAGATAGAAGTGAAAATCAGAGAAAATTAAATGCATTATAATAAATACATACACACAAAGCCACAAAAAGCCTGAATGCTAAGAAAAATCGTACCGCAAGCTACTCATGGCTGTAGCTGTTGCTGGCATGAGGATCTGAGCAGTCAGAATGAACAGCAGAGTGGTCCATCAGGGACAGGAGTCATCTGGGGCAGCTGCATCATGCTGCCTGGAAAGCCATCACCACCTCGGAGCCTGAGAGGGTTATGGATTAGTTTATATTAATCCTGCTAGGGAATTACAAATGTAAGGTTGTTTCTCACCCTTCTGTCACTCTCTGGTGTTTATAAAGCAGTAAACTACTATCTCCTATTACTTCTGTACCTGTAAAATAAAACAAAAACAAAATAAAACCAAACCAAACACAAAAACATTACCATCCCTAAATAATCTGCCTTTACACTGACTGTAAAACATTTACTGTGATATAGATATCTCTGAACATTATTCCTAGCCTGAAGTTTGTAAATGAGCCAAACACAGTAACAGTGAAATAAGAAAACAGTGAAACTGTTAGTGCTAGAGAGCAATTTGGAATTATTTCTGATACAACTCTGTCACTGAATGAGGGAGAGCTGGTTTAACAGATGCTAAAAAGCAGAACTCTGCTGTCCTCCTTAGTCTTCATTTAAGTTTGGATTATATCCAAAAGCATTTTTGAGTATGATAGGCCCTTTTGTTTAAGGAAAAAAAGGCAAGCTGTATGATCTGATGATGTAAGACTTAATCCCTGAGAAACTGTGACTTAAGTAAGAGCATTTATGCATGCTGAATCTGTCTAAAGGTTGCATTCGTCACATCTCAGATGATGTGGAACAGTCTAGCTGTTGACACTGATTTATATAGTCCCAATGAAAAGAGTTATCTGATCTCTCCATGCACATGTAGACCCTGCCACTGTGTAAAATACTCATTTAATCTATTACTGTGCAGGGGTTTCAGTGAATTCTAGGTGCAGCTTCAGCAATGGCAGTGGTTTTGCACTAACCCTGCAATAAAATAGGATAAGAAAAATAAAAACAAAGAGGATCCAGTTTAGAGACAGTATCTTCTGTAGTATGGTAGAAAATGTGAGGCATGCCATTGAGGCTTGCTTTGCTCCACTTTTATGTCTGCAACAGGGAAATTACAATTTTGGCTGAGTACTTTCTCTGTGAATTAAATACTTGCTCTAAAATATCTGTGTGTGTGAGCATGCATAGTTGCTGGTTTGATTTGTTCGTGGTTGGTTATTTTTATTCGTGGACATCACAGAGGTAAATAACGTGAGCAGAAACTCTTGGAAATAACTGTAAAGCAAGAGGTTGTACTGTGATTGCAGCTGAGCCACAGGTCCTCTTTATTAGTGCTCAGTGCGAACGGACAGGGATTACTGGTGTGACAGCCTGGCATGACCTGTCCCTCCTTCTGCCCACAAAGGGCTCTGTGGGCCACAGGACATTTCTGAGGGCCTTTTACAAAAATGTCATTCCAAAACACATTGTCTTCAGCTGGATAAGGGATGGCAGTAGCTGGGCACTGATTTGGCTTGGGGAGTTCTGCTGTTGTTTAGATTTTATGCTTACTCTTGCTAGTGGAGCAGGAATTGTGATTGAGAGCCTGTCATTCAAGAAATGGCTTTGCAGTTGAAATAAAGCGATGAAATTTAATGCATTTTCTGAGATAATGAATCTTAAAATTGAAGTCACTGGTGGATTTGAATAGCAACATGTCAGATGATGGTTTTCACAATTCTGCCTTTGTTGTCTTTTTTGGTATCTATAGGAGAAGCCCAGATGTACAAGCTAAAGAAGAACTGTGGAAACATATTCAGTATGTACGGTCTTGTAGGGTGAGAGTAACTGCTTGGTTTGCCTCAAACGGTGTTATTCACATCCCCTGCACTGTGGCTATAAGACATTACGTTCTGACTTAGTTATGTGACATGGTAAATTATGTGGGTGTTAATGACCTGCTATATGTAAAAGGCACTGCAGATCACTGAATGCAGATGACCATTGTATGTAGACAAATTATTAAAGAAGAATACAACATTATAGAGATTTATTCCTTTGTGGCTTCCAAAATGTCCCTGTTTGTAAAACTGACACTTTTAGGATGAGGCTCCATATGCCATAGAACTACCAATCTGGAAGATAGTTAGCTATTCCAAAGTGTTTTTGATGTTCAGTATACACAATATTCATATATATATTGTGAAGCAGCAAGATCAGATATGCAGGAAGGTGAGAGGAAGGTGGAACAGGATGTGACATGCACTTGAAGCAATCAAGGTGAAGTTAGACACATTTCTTAATGGGTTTCCTATTTTGATGACAAGGTAGCTTCAGGGCTGACAGCAGCTTGTCTAAGTAAATCTTTTCAGCCTAATATAATAAAAATAAGAACAGTGTTGCAGTTGGTAGCTACCATTACATTTTTTTACTTTGTTTAATCCTTTCTAGGAAGGAGCTTGTGGATCCATCTGGACTGTCTGAGGAGCAATTGAAAGAAATTCCATACACTAAAATAGAGTAAGTTTATGTCAGGATTTTTTTTTGTGAATCTAAAAGCCTACTTTTCTTATTTTACTGTGAACTGTGTCATACTGAAATAGAAGTGGGTTTACACATAATCTCTAAGCTTTTGTCTACACCAAATGCTCATCTAGGATGGATTGGGGGAGGATACTTAATAATTTAAAAACCTCATATTTTCTGTTTCCAAAATATGAAAAGAAAAATCATATTTGTCACTCCCTATCTCTCCCACACACTTGTGAATCTGCTGGATGTCTGTATATTCTGTATGTCTCCCCATGCCATCCATCACTGTGTTTTATGTTACACAGTACAGAATCAGAGAGAACTGAATGCAAACAAGGAAACTCATTTATTTCCTAAACTTCTGCTTCCTTTTAAATTTTTATTCCAATCATCTAAGGCACTATTTGACCTCTTCAACCCCTTTCCTTGCTTGTCATGAGCAGCTGCTAGGCCATAGCTATTTCCTTAAGAACGGACACCTATTTCACTGTGATAATTGCCCATTTGGGATGCCATGTGTCAGTGCAAGCAGCTGCATGTGGCAGAAATGGGATCCCAGTTTGTGCTATAATATGCTTCCACAACATCACTAAACAGAAAAGACTGATGTTAGAGCTGTAAATATCAATGCATTCTTTATTAAACAGTTTAATTCTCAAATAATGGCATGACAATTTGTAACCTTTGGACTTCTAAAGCATTGAATTCCAAGTACAGGTTCCTAAGAGAAGCATCAGCCTTTTAAATTCAGCCCATGCAAGAAGCCATCTGTTATAGTTTAATAAGAAATGGGAGGATCTGTCAGTCTGCAGTTGCATTTATGTTTTTGTGCTGAAGATCTGGTTCACTAACCTACCACTATGAATTCTGTGTCTCTCTTAGGACTCAAGGTGATCCGATTCGCATTCGACATTCTCATTCCCCGCGAAGCTACCGTCAGTATCGGCGGTCCCAGTGCTCTGACGGTGAAAGATCTGTCCTGTCCGAAGTGAAGTACGTGAATGTGGTTATTAGCCATGGATTGGTTTAGTGTGGTCCAAAAGTTGTTCAAAGATCATGGTTGGATTAGAAGTGGCATAAATGTGGTTGGTTGCTGGCACAGGTTTCAGGCAATCCTCTGAATAGTAGGTTTTCAGAGCTAAATGACTCAAACATGTACAGAAACATTTCTGGTCTATTCTGAGCCACAAAGGCTTCCTTGAACCACTTGAAAGGGGGAAAAACTGAAAAAGCCAAAATGAACCTGTGTTGCTCTTCAGTGATAGGTTATGAAGTTGCCTAAGGGATGAGAACTCGTGAGCTGCTTTCCAGATACTTTTATCCTTTAATAGAGTTAAGACATCATCTCTAATAACTGTAATTTGTTTCATGGTAACGCTAGTACAACCCTCTTCAGCAATTGGTGGATCAGTCTTTCCTAGAAGACTGATTTGCAAAGGGTGTACTTATGAATGGAGAAATGACAGCTCTGTTCTCAGTTTTATTAAGGCCTTAAATATCAAAAGCAGTCCCTTGATGACATCATCAACTTGTGAGGTTAGTTTTAGCTGGATGGCATCCTAGAGGAGGTGTGGCATACCTGTGATTTGAGGTGAGACTCATCTCACATGAAGGTGGGCTGCTTCTGAAGACCAGATAGAGACAGGCACCTTGAGAAAGGAAGGGATGACCTGTGCCCTTAAGGTAGTACTGAGGACCAGCACGATAGCTTTCAGATGTCTCAAGTCATGTGATAAGCCTTTCGGATTTTGCCTTTCAGATCTTTGTAAGTGTCTAGGTGAGTTTCATTATTCTTCCTCTGCACAGTTATAGTGTACTTTATTATGGCAATATCCATTTTGTAATATCATAATTCCAGTGCAAAAACTGATCTGGTGCCTCCACTGCCTGTTACACGATCTTCAGATGCGAAAGGTCCCAGCATCCAGTTGACTCAACAGGTTAGTAATTGTCCATCCTTTGCAACTTTCCTTCTTTGGAGGAAGAAGGTGGGAGGGTGGGGCGGGGCTAGTGCTTTATTTAAATTAGATCTTTGTTTTTCCGTGAAACTTAGAGCTGGCTGAGGTTCTTTCAGCATGTGATAGTTTAACTTAGCTGTCAGCCAAAC